TATAGCTAAACTCTTAATTCGGACCTGTACTGTCAGCAAGTGGACCGTTTGAAGGATGCAATCGCCCAGCTTTGACCAACAGGAGGAGAATTTCGTCGTCAGAACTACGTCAAACTACTTACATCTATAGCGGCTCGCCCAAAGCTACGAAAGCGTGGTTGCGAGATTCTTATACCTGCGCCTATGGCAAATGATTTGGCTAGTGAAGAATTTACCTCAAGAGAAGCTTGTGAAAATTCTTCGTCCCAATATTTAGCGAATAGTGAAAAGGGTTTCTATGAGGGAAACATAATAACTTTACCTTCAAAAAAAGTAGAAAGAAATCGGGCAAAATGGTGGATATTTGACATAAATCGGATAATTCTAAGCATGGCAAATAAAACCTTCAGTCAAGCCAAGTCTTACATTTACGTCATTTTCAGTTCTCGGAATTTGGGCTTACGTCTTTTACACATTTACTCAGAGAACCACATATTCACGTCATTTTCAGTTCTCGGAATTTGGGCTTATGTCTTTTGCACATTTACTCAGAGAACCAGATGTGATAAAAGAGAAGCCTTCTGTCTCGACAACATTCGTAAACTGTGGGTTGCCCCTTTTTTGCAGATTGGGCGGAGAGCAATTTGGTTTCCATCGAAAGGCATGTTCTCATCTGACTATATCTTTGCAGGGAAGCTGGAGCATGCATCTCACCGGGTAAGACGTTATTCTTCAGATGTGTAATTGCTATTTACTAAGTTCTATTTCAGTCTATTTCATCATCATTACTTGAGTTTGTAGGTTCGCTATTTCCCAGAGGGTTCCTATAAACTGCGACGATTATCGTAGGATAACCCTCATCCATATCGCCTATAAGGTACTATCGAGCGTATTGTGTGAAAGACTTAAGCTCACCCATAACAAACTGATTGAAATTATCACCAGGCCCATGAAAAGACGATCGAGCCACGCCACCTCTTAACGATTTCAAAGCAGTCTTCGATAGCTGACGTTAAGCCTCGTCAGAATCGGGAAGGACTATTCCAAGTCGTTCGGTATCAAGCCAGGCTCCTTACTGTGTGACCTTCTTTTATAGGTTTTGATACAGAAAAGCGGGTCAGAGGAATCAATGAATCTAAAAGGGTCGTGTGATTCAAAGTTTGTTCTGCATGAGCCCAATGAAAGTGGCCTGAAGTGTCTACATGATCTTAAAGGGATGGTAAACTTAAGCTCGCAAAGTAGAAATGGGCTATTGATAACAATTCTTATCAATTTATAAAACTCCAAGCATCTTTCTACGACTGTGGAGTGCAGGCAGATTAATGAGCCGTAAACGACTTTTGTAAGATGGCAGATTCTTGCTCGCATCCCAGTTTAAATTTCTTAACGCGAATAGTAGGTAGTAGTACAGATCCCATTGATGGTGCGGATGCTATAAAACTGAACCATATTCCAAAACGGGTCAATTGAGACAAGTAAGGTAAAGAGTAATTTAGTAATATATGGGACTTCGGCGGCCGCTTAAGCCGAGTGGTTAGCATTGCCAACTGCCATTCGGAGGGCTCGGGTTCAAATCCCCGTGCGACTATCATCCAAAAGTTATAGAAAATTGATTTAAATAAAAAAATTAAGCTAAGTTTTCTAATTGCGGTCGCCCCTCGGCAGGGAATGTCCACACCTCCGAGTGCATTTCTGACATGAAATAAAACTCCTCATGAGAAAACCATCAGCCGATCGGAGGCGGTTTGGTATAAACTGTACGTCTCCACGTACGCGTACCATAAATTGCAGGAGGAGCTACGGTTAAACGAAATTACGGCGGTTTTTGAATTTATTAACTGAAATGTCATAACATTAAAGTCGTAGGTAATTTCGTTTATCTAGGAACCAGCACTCTTGCCAGCAGGAGATACTTTGGACGAAGTAGGCAATTGAAAAGTAAATTCCTCTTCCGACGAACGAAAACTAAGCTCTACAAGTCCTTCATCTTTCCCGTTCTGCTATATGGTGCGGAAGAATGGACAATGACGACATCTGATGATGCGGCATTAGGAGTTTTCCAGAGAAAGGTTTTGCATAAGATTTATGATCCTTTGCGAATATCGCAGACGGTGGAACAATGAGACGTATAAGTTATACGCCAACATTGATATAGTTCAACGAAGCAGCTACGCTGGCTAGGTGATGTGGTCCGGACGGATACGCATACGAACTTGAAAAAGCAGTTTTAGTATTTGCTTAGACTGAAAGGTTTGATGAGAATGGCCCTTGTGCCATTAAATATCACTCCCAATTTTTTTCTAAAAGCCCTCTCTCAAAGTTAATTCACCAATTAAATATTTCAGCGTTATTTCAAGGCAACTTTCAACATTTTTCATGCTAAAAAATTTCACATTGCCTTGTTTTTACTAAAGTCTTCTACTTGCAAATTATCTTAGAAAAATGCACACTGTTGTAAACAATTTGTTGATACAAATTAATGAATTATTGAAAATAATGTGTGTGTGTGGACTGAGTAAACACCATACATTTCCTTAACATTCATCTCCAGCAGAATCAGGCACATTAATCAAGGCGGTAGGTAATAAGCTGCACTCAGATATTATCGTTAATAATGTTTAAATAATTTTAAATAAATTTAAATTTTAATAAATGTAATTAACGTTGGAAGCAGTATGGGATTGCAGTGGTAGTGTTTAGCAGTGCCTACAATCAACATCCAAAATTATAAAAAACAAGAAAGAGGTGCTGGCTTCGGTCATCCCGAAACTTTATGCTATTCATGTACTCATAAATTTTTGAAGATTTTCGGGGTCAATATTTATTTGAATTTCTCGTTTCTGGATAGATTTAAGTTTGAGCTGGGTACTTCTCTTTATCTTGTGGTACCTACGTACTTCGGGCAGAAGTTTATATACCATCCTCGTGGAAGGCATCAACATAATAATTTAATTGAAAAAATTAATTTTTCTCATCGCTCCACCCCTCAGTAGATAATTTCAACGCCTCCGAGTGTATTTCTGACATGAAAAATACAAAAATTTTGTAAATTTTGCTTTTGTTTTAGCTTTCTGGCTATCTGTCCGTTCAACTGTGTTATCTCAAGCCACAATAACAAAACTACAATTCTCAAGATTTTCATGCTTTCAAATAGAAAATCGGATGAAATAACGACATTCAATTAATGATAATCTGCATAGAATTCGCGTTAATTCGAATATAATACATACATAAATATATATTTAGATGAACAATTTTCAATTTAATTTGTCAAACTTTCTTAAAAACGAATAAAGAATATGGCGAAAATGTAGAACTCTAAAGGTGATCGAAAGGTTGAAAGCTACTAAAATATGGACATTGGATGACTTGCAAATGACTCTATTTCCATCCGTTATTTCAAAAAATGTCAATACAATGTCAAAACTGCAACGAAAAAATCATTCAGAAAAAAAAACAAAAATGAAATTGTGGTCCCAAAAAATTGTTCCCTAAACTTTTTACCAACGAAGTCCCCCACGAATGAAGCTACATTGATTTTCTAAGGCAGTCAATATGGCGGAATTAGGCCGAGAAGCTGTCTACATATGTACTTAGAAATTTAATAAATAAAGCATATTAATAATAAAATCTTTTACACGTGTACCTTTGTTTTGAGATAAAATTTTTTGATAAAATATGTAAAGCATGATTGTTTAGCTATTATCTTTTTGGCAACACTGGTTTAAACAGCAGACGTACGTTTCGGGTTTTGTATCACTGTCAAACATCTTCAGTTTGGTCTATAGATTTAACCATGAATCGTCTTACAAACGAACCACGATTGCAAATTATTGAATTTTATTATCCAAATGCGTGCTCTCCTAAGAAAGTTCGCCGCGCGCTTTTTCCATTCCAGCGACGAAGCTCATTTTTGGCTTAATGGGTGCGTAATTAAGCAGAATTGTCGGTTTTGGAGTGAAGATCAGCCAGGAGCATTGCAAGTGCTACTAATGATATAGAAAAAGTCACACTTTGGTGCGGTTTATGGGCTGGTGGCATGATTGGACTACTTCAAAGATCGTAACGTAACTGTGAGTAGTGAGCGCTACCGCGAATTGATATCAACCTTTTTTTGCCCAAAATGCAAGACCTTGACTTGCATGACATGTGATTTCAATAAGACGGTGCCACATGCCACACAACACGCGTAACAATGGACTTATTGAGAGGCGAGTTCGATAAACATTTTATTTCACGTTCGCGACCGGTCAATTGGCCGCCTAGATCGTGCGACTTAACGCCTTAATACTATTTTTTGTTAAATTTTATGCATATACCGACAAATCCGCTTCAATTGACGCATTGGAGGACAACATTGAAGCATTTATACGTGAAATACCGGCCGAAGCATTGGAAACAGTATGTCAAAATTGGACTAAGCGGAAGGACCATTTGAGGCGCAATCTTCAAACATTAAATTGTTATTATTTTTTGAAATTTTTTTTTTTGAATAACTTTCCTATAGCTTTTAAAAAATCACCCTTTATTAAGGCTTGTTTCAAAAGTAATCCATTTGTAGTGTATTTTACACAAAAAACAGCACAAAAGTTCGAAATTGTTATGTTCGTATTCGTAAATAAATTCGAAGCATTATATCAGGATGGACAAGAATAAACTGAGCAGATAACAAGGAAATTAATAAATACAAATATTTTGAATAGTTTTTATTATTTTTAAAGTTTGGTTTAAAGTGCAGAATAAGTATATTCGCATATTAGCAACAAAATCTAGCAATCAAGTCCCAAAGTCCACATTCTTATTTGTGTATCATTTCACTAAATATAATATTAGCAGCAGCACATCCAGAAATTTTATAACACATTATTTGAAAAATTAAACTCTAAATACACACGATCAACACATCGAAAACCCGTGATTAATTGAAAACAAGAATTAATTTAGAATAAAGCTAAAAATATTGATTGCTTAACTTTTTTTTAAAGTGGCATATGAGAATACATCAAATCAGTTATATTTACCTTTATATTTTTTCTCCCCAATGTTATTCATATTAAGTGTAGCTTTTGTTGGCCGGTTTGCGAAGTTCCGATTCCATTAAAGTAATTTGTGCGACGAAGTTGGCACAGCTAATGATTGAGGTTAGTTAAATGGTTTAGCGTCCGTTCAAGGATCTTGCTTGCTTTCTTTGTGGATATTGGAATTTGTTAAAAAGCTCATAATTTAAATATTAAATTAGCTTCGCATGGGTTTTATTTTCGTCTTTTCACTTTTTTGCACATGTCACAATATACTAAGGAAATAAACAAAAACACATATTTATATATCTATATATGTATATACTTTTCGATAAGTACATGAATTTAGATGTCCTTTTTTACACTTTTACATCATTCGTTTGTGTTCGTACAAACATAAATATAAAAAGACGGGCATTTCTATACGGTATTTCTCTTTAAATTCAAATTTCACTTATGAGACAGCAAGAGGGCTTTATTTTATATCCTTAGATTAGAATCAGCTATCACATAATAAACATTAACACATGTCACAAACATACACATATACATTATTCTTCGGTCGCATACTTTCAGCATCAACGGTGTATGGGAAAAGCAATGTTGAAACAAAACGAATTGCACTTACAATAAATCAATGATCATAATACAATCGCACGATTTTATGTATGTATTGTATATGTATGTACTATACGCAACTGTGCAAACACGCATGCAAGTGGTATACATTTACATAGATATACGTTCGAAATTCAGGTTTTGCGAAAAGTCTGTAGATATGTATATATGTACAATATATACGTGTACACGTATATGTCCGCTTATTTATCCATATTCATATCTCTATATCTGTACATGCGTACATAGCATAATATTGTATGTAGCAACAATTCATTTGTTTTTAAATTTTTGCTAAAAACTTAAATCTTTTTAACTATATTCGAGTTAAAAAGCGAGCGGCTTTTTATTAAAATATTTAAAATGTGTATCTACTTTACTATTTTCTCTATGTTGGGTTGTGTTTATAAGCGCACGTTTGTAGGTATGCATGTACGTGTTTATTTACATACATACATACATCTGCACAATTCACTGAGAGTACAACTAAGCACTTTAAAAACTATTGTAGGTAACGGACATATGGATGCATGTATGTGCCAATGCATGTTCATATTAATAAAACAGTAGCACTAATGTACGATATTTAAGCACAAACACAAGCGCATATATTTCAAATATATTTTCTTACGGTACTTGTTTTCAAACACAACCAATGAAATAATATTTTATCATACGCGTAAATACAAATTTAATTTCAAACAATTTTTATTATTTTTAGCATTATAAATTTTTTATTTAGTAGAGTTTGAAAACCACTAGGTCATTCCTATATCCGTGTTATCCAATCAATTCAGAGGGTCGAACAGATACTGGCAACCAATCGACCAGAAAAGCTTTCTGATTGCTTTCTGCTGGCTGAAATTATGTATGTTCGCTCTCTTCACATTTTGTTAGATTTGAAACTCAACAGATCAACGAACCTGTAATGAGAGCGAAAACCAGTGTTATGTGTCTACAAATATGCTTACATTTAACTATTTGTATACGTGTTTGTATATGTAGGTAGACGACGTTGTAAGTATGCTACGCAAGTAAATTTGGAATTCTTCAATTTGGTACCGGTTTTACTTTGCTTACGCTTCTCACCTTTTGACTGCAACAAAGAGACGATCTTGTTAACAAGCTTGAGCTTCTTACATTGAGATAGACGTCGTAGTCTCCCAATAATATGCTTCAAAAATTTATATACGTACATACATGTATAAATGGACAGTATACTCGTATACATACATACATACATACATACATGAACAAATGCGAATGTACACTGCCAATTGTGAGCTACATAAAAAATAGAAAATCTGTAATCTAAGTACTGCACTGCGAGTCTCCAAAATATATTGCATAAAATGATATTAACCATAACCAGTTTCAATAGGAAAATATAAATACCACTCACACTAATCGCGCCTACATATTGCAAAGAAAAAATGTATTATCAGAGGATTGTCCTTGCTATAAAGAGACAACCGTATGCGAGTATATTAAGAAATAAAACAAGAAAGGAAGTACTAATTTGTGGTAACGCCAACTGTATCGCTTGCGCAATAGAATAATTGTTTTGTTTATGCTTTTTAAAAAAATTATTTTTCTTTTCATTACTTTTATTTTATGTTTTCATGTGTAGCTGGTTAACTCTAACTTCAAATGTTCGTAAATAAAATTGCTTTCATACCACATATGTATGTCGGTGAGTTCTAGATACTGTATTTTTACTATGGTACACATCGTCAGCAGAAGAGCTACTAGCTTGAAGAGCTTATATAAAAAATTTGAAAAATTCTGATATAAATATATGTTGAAATTTAAAAAAACTGCATGCTATTCAAAAATAATTCACTAACAATTATAACAGTGAATGTAACTAGCCTTGCATAATTAGATACTTTTAATTATTTTTATTTTATAATTTAACTTATTTTTTATACAAAACTTTAAAATGGACAAATTTTCATCTTCATATGGATTTTTTTATCTTCATATATACGTCTTAATATCTATGTTTAAGACTCTAAAATAATTTTGTAAATTCTTACATAACGATGATACAATAAATAAATAAAATAAAATATCTCATAAATGTTTAAGTTTTCATTGTTTATGAAGCGCATATTACTTAAATATATGTATATGTATATATACATACATTTTTTCCTGGTCAGAAATATATTCCATAGTTTTGCATTTGCTGCCAACATCTGCGGTCGCAAAAATGATTTGAGATACATATACTACATATATATGTACATATATAATATGTATGTATGCTCATATACACATACGTATTGTACATAAGTATATATGTATATATATATTTCATTTTATTTCAATTCAAGACAAACAGTTACATACATATACAATAAGAGTTTGTTTAAGTTCTTAAAATTTCAATATTATAAAAAAAGCAAGTATTTCAAATATTTTAAAAATAACATACACAATGTTTTTCCTAAATAATTTCCCAGTGTTGGTTGTTGTTGTTGTAGTGGTTCGCTAACCCCGCTTAGGTACAGGTTTGATCAATCTAAGTCGCCGAGGTCATCTAGTGGGAGGTCCAGGAAACGAGTTGTCTCGATGGGATGGGACCAAAGAGAGTGAGAGTTTGAGGTGGCATGTCAAGAGGTAGTTATTGTCCTGCGGAGACATTCCATATGCAAGGTATAGGTTGGGTTTGCTGGGGTCGAGTAAAACCACCATCCATTGCAGTTGCAGAGTTTAACCATCTACAATATCCTGACCTACACGTAAATTGTACCAAGGTCACGCGGGTCTCTAGAGGCAGCACGCGCTCGTTGTCTGCAATGGATGATGGTTTTACTCCGAGCACGCCATTCACTGGAATGGAGTCTTTGAAGGTGTTGACTGACTCCTGGTGAATGGCGTTCAGTGCCTGTCTGCACGTCGTCCTGTACAGCGGTTGTTGCACATATTGCTGGATTGTGTTTTTTAAGGCGAGTACTCCCTACCGGAATCGACCCGGATTTTATACGGCCAAGGGTTGTCACCCTTTCGGCGACCTAACCCCGTTTAGCTAAACAGATCCCAGTGTTGGTCATGTTGTTTCCAAGTTTAATTAATTTAATATTATTTCGTAGGTTAATACCTTTGTATATAGCTGTGGTAATGTCTCTTAAATTGATTTTATAATTTAGTGTCACACTATTTTAATCGCGCATATTATTCTTCGTATACACATTGAAAATTTATAGCTCCTCAAAATTTTTAGAGGCATTTTGAACAATTAAGCCGATGACCTAAAGCTAGTGATGTAACATTGTATTATATTATGTACATTCATATACTTAAAATAAAATAAATCTGAAACTGAATCAGTGTGAAAATAAATGTTTAAATTTTAGTTATTCGAAATTCGTATCATTCGGACATTGGTACATTTTTATATTTTTACTATATTACATTTCTCTTGCAATGGATTTTATTTACATACATATGCACTTAGCCCAGGCAGGCGGTTTATTCAAATCAGTTATTGAATATTCCCTAATCAGAATCAGAAAAACCACAACATTTTGAACCCTTTTCATTTATGAAGTGAATATAAATATTATAAGCTTAAAGGAAGAATTTCCATACTTGAGTGAAATTGGTGGAAAAGCCTATCATAGCATTCATTGGAAAACGGTCAGTTGATTATTGAATTGTGGGAAAATGATTTTTAGAAAATTGTTCCATCATCATATACATCAAATTTTACCAAATGTTTAAATTTATTGCTAAGTTCTCCGACAGTAGCGTCCAAATAATGACATGCACACATACTTATATAATATAAGTAAATATTAATAAACTGAATTTTTGTATGAAAATCTTTAATATTTCACCCATATTTGACCGTGATTACTCATTTATTTTGTGGTACTCTGTTAATTATCCTTGTTTTATAAGAGTACAGGGGAATCAACAACTCTATTTTTGTTTTCACTCACTTGTCAGTGGGAGTTTTATTTCAGGAACGTTCGCAACTTTTGTGTGACCACACATTTTTTTAATGCCTTTAATTTATTTTAATAACATTTTCATGCATTGGTTTTTATGATATTTATTAGACGACGAAAGTATTCGATGCAGTATCCGCTGGTGGAAGCAGAGGAAGAGGAAGACCTCCACTCCGTTGGAAGGATCAGGTAGAGAGTGAACTGGTTTCACATGGTATTTCCAACCAGGTAGGCAAAAAAAAGAGGTATGGCGCGCTAAGATTGATTCTGGCTATAATCACGTAAGCGGTGCCAACGCCAATAAAGAAGGAGAAGAAGAAGAAGGTGAACTTGTACACTTCTAAATGTCTATATTTTAGCTTTCAATCGCTGTTTAAGCTTGTTACAATTATTCTTATTGTTTTAAAATTAGTTTTGGGCCAAGCCTATGAAGAATTGCTCATTTTTTGAGTTAGACACAGATTTTTTTTAATAATTTGACACCGTTAGAAGGACGTTACTCTATACATATATATTTATCCACTAAATTGCATTTTGGTTGGATGCATTCTTTGATAACCTATGGTACAACAAATAAAATTATAGGAAATAGGTAAAAATTAAACAGAACCTAAAGAATGGCAACATCTGAAGATGTATGAAAACACTCCAAAAGTGTTGACTTAGTTTTTTTTTTAGTTTTTTGCGTTACAGCTTAATACAAATATATATACAAATATACATACATACATCGGTATGTCACTACATTCGTCTGTTCTTTTCATATATGTATGTAAATTCGTATAGGTAATTTTCGAAGATATACTTACATATGTACATATACATACATATGCATATATATTTTAATATGTATGTTACTTATCTAAATTTCGTTTTTTTTTTGAAATATGAATATATGTACATATGTACATATGTAAGTAAGTATGTATGTAAGTGCTTAAGTTTTTACATAAGAGGAATAAAGATTTTTACAACATTATATTGTAACAACACAAAACGTAATCTGTTATCATTTTCATAAAATTCACTTTTCACTATTTATATATATATATATATATGCTTATCTATGTATGCATATAAATGCAATTATAAATTATTTAAACTAAATATTTGTACAACTTCACAACACGTAAAAACTGTAGGTTTTTGGTATGCTTTAAATTTCACTAATTCGAACACGCGATACGGAGTACAAAGTCAATAGCCGTCCGTCAAACGCCGAACCATTAGTAACGCCATTAAAGCCAATGCGACCGCCGAGGACAAAGCGTTGACCATATCTAAAAGGGCATTTGCATGTGTCACGACGCATGAGACTTTAGATTCCTTTGGAAGTTTCTTTTGTTTTGGAAAAAAAAAAACACTTAGCAGAAAGGGAGGTGGAGAAATTTTGGAATATGGAAATTTCTGTAGAAAAAATAAAATAAATTATATTCACACACACTTACCATAAAGGATATTATTCCCCGTATGTCCTACATAACGGTGAGTGTTAAAAATAAATAAAAATACCTAAGATTTAGTTTTGCGTAATGCACAATCGTTAGAGGTTCATTCGTTTTAATTTTCATATACATATATGTATGTACACGTAAATATGCATACATATCTACATTATAAATACTACATTGTACAACTGTTGACCGTTGGTGTCGAATGACTAGAACAAGGTATAAAAGTTTGTTTCTAATTCAAAAAAATATATATTCTCCAACTAATTCTTAGCCTTTTAATATACAAAGTCAAGTAAATTTCGTCGTATTCGCTTCATTAGTTAGAAAACGCTAATTATGAGCTTTATATACACATATACATATAAAATAATAATTTCACACAGCTTTTCTACGAGAAATTAATGGAAAACGTAGTTGCACTCACATTTCATGTGTGCTAATAATTTTAACGGTTTTTGTGAAAGCAGATAAACATAAATGTTGAAAAAATGCTAACGATTT